GATTGATGTTGTAGTACGATATTTTGGCTTGGATTTTGATGCGAAAACGGCATGATTTTTTTTAAATAAAAAAATTAGTTGTTTTTAAAAAATAAACTGGTCATCTGAAGAATAATTTAACATTGTTCACAGTGATAACAGCTCATTCTCGAAAGGAAGCTTACCCGCTCACGCTAGTCACGATAAAAATCATACACGTGTACTCTTGAATAGACGGAGGTAGAAAAGATTCTTTTCTACCTCCATGAATAGACAAACGTCAATGACTACGGTAAAACTTAGACTCTATTTTAGCCGGCAGGATTGATTGAAATGTCCGAAAAATGACGCCAAAATACACCTTAAAAGTCCCATTTTATTTTCTTAAATCCCATTTTATTTTTTAATCCAAGGGCGAATTTACGGCAGAATTTGGTCCCTCAAATAAGGGACACGTGAGCTTTGATTCTAACCGGATACATTGCACTGGGTCGGGGAGATAGTTTGCTAAACTTCCATGCAACTTTTGTCCAATGGGTACCTGTACTTCGAACATTCGCAAGTTATTCTAGGTAGTGCGAGACAGCTTTGTCTTTTGACCTATTAGTTTTGTGCTGACCTCTTCTCCGCGTCTTGATGTTTTGTTTTGCTTGTCATAATACTCACTGATTGATGACTTTGTTTAGATTTTGAGTTACAACTCGGCCACGACCTTTGCTTTTACCGTGAAACATGAGGAAGTTTACGTCAATTGACGGACATTGCATTTTTTAAAAACTAATGAAGCACACTGTCTATCATCCCCATTTTTTCATTTGCTGACTTCTATTCTGAAAAATTCGACCGTCCGAAAATGCACCTTAATTTTGACTCTAAAAACACGTCACATATCTAACACCAATTATTTAAAACCGGTCGAAATTTTGGAGTTTTTACGGTGCTTTAGATATCAGTGTGAAAGCTTAAAATTGGTTAATTATGCAAATTAGGTAATTAATATGTACAGATTTTAACCCACAATTATTCAGGTCTGTCTATTGTCCTACAGCATCCATGTACATTCATTGATATGTGATGTATAGTACCTGAGATATCAGTGTGAAAGTTGGTTAATTATGCAAATTAGGTGATTAATATGCACAAATATTTACCGGAAACTAATTGGGTCTGCATAATTCTAGATTCATTGAAATGTGATGATTAGTACTTGAGATACCCGTGGAAAAGCTGAAAATTAACTAATTATGCAAATTAGGTGATTAATATGCACAAATATTTATCAAAAACAATCAATCTCTGCATAGTCCTTGAGTATGTAAGTACCAAGTTTCATTGAAATGTAATGCTAACTACTTATATCAAATGCTGAAAATTAATTAATTATGCAAATTAGGTAATTAATATGTACTGATATTACCATAAAAACTATCAGGTCTGTGCAGTGTCGTATGACATCTATGTACCAAGTTTCATTGAAATGTGGTGATTAGTACTTGAGATATCAGTGGAAAAACCGAAAATTGACTAATCATTATGCAAATTAAGTAATTAGTATCCACGGATTATTACCAAAAACTAATCAAAACCTAGCATTAGTTCAGAGCATCTATTGTACCAAGTTTCATCAA